ATTCAGAAAGTTGTTTCGACCATGTTAGGCTCCCCTTGAAAATCTTTCAGTGCAGAAAGTGGTTTGGATGACTAAAGCAGCATTTGCTCTCAGCAGCTATCCCCAGAAGCATTGAGTAATTTGCATTCCCTGCAGAACAGCCCACAGCTTACCTGATATACCACTAAAGAAGTCCATATATCCCCAAACAATTATGTTGTAACCTTTTCTTGGGAAAGATGGGACAGGTAGCTAAACTGACTTATAAAGCCCTTTTTAAAAAATTTTTTATTGTTTTTTGAGACAGGGTCTCCCTGTAGTCCCAGCTGGCCTGGAACTCTCAATGTAGACCAGGCTGGCCTTGAACTCAAAGAGATCCACCTGCCTCTGCCTCTGCCTTCCAGGTACTAGTATCAAAGGTGTGTGCTACCACACCCAGCTCTTTATTTACTTTTAATGTGAGTTGATACAATTTATTCCAAAGAAATAAAATTCTAGTGAAAGAGGTTGTATAGGTCAAGAAGACCTGACTCCCACTCCGAGTGGAACACGTAGCTGTTGTGTGAAGTTGGCATGTTTCTTAGTGACCCCTCTGGCTTGGTCTGTTTATTGCCAAGATGACAGAGTACCTATCACAATGTCAAATCATGTAGTATACTTATATTACCTGACAAAGAGTAGTAGCTGAGTAACATTTGGATTTTTCCTCTCTCTCAAGTAGAGCAAACATTAACCAGTTCAATTGTTAGTTATGGGCCTTGGGATTTTCCCTTTTTCAGTTTTCAGGAAGGACAATCAGCCAAGACAATCTTAATCTAGATTGAAAAAAAAAGCGAAGTGAATGTTTAGTTTCTTGAAGAAACCCCCTCCCTCCCTCCCTCCCTCCCACCCATTCTACATGCTTTTTCAAAGTGGTGATTGCAGTAGAAAGTTAAAAAATGATTTCTTTCCTTCTTTCTTGGTGTGTGGTTTATATATGTGTTCATGTGTATGTGTACGTGTGTTTGTTTGTATATTTGTACACATGCATGTGGAGGCCAGAGGTCAACACCAGGTATCTTCTGCCTCTCCATCTTACTTTTAAAAAGTATTTTATTACTTTTTTTAACTTTATGTATATGAGTGTATTGCCTACAGTTATGTAAGTGCACCTGTGTTGTGCAATGCCTCTGGAGGTCAGAAGCAGGAACTAGAGTCCCCTGGAACTGGAGTTCCAATCATTGTTAGCTGCCATGTTGGTGTTGGGAATTGAACCCAGGTCCTCTGCAAAAGCAGCTAGTGCTTTTAACCATGAGCCGTCTCTTCAGCTCCTTTTTAGGGAATATTTTCCAGCTCTTTCAGTACACTGTTTAAATGTGATACCACCTTTTAAAAAAGTTTTACTAACATAATACAAGTTCCATATATTTAAAATGTATAGTTTGATGAAGTTTTTGTTGTTTCTACTTTATTGCTTAAGCACAGGACTTGAGGCATGCATCACCTTTAGTAACATGCAGAAAAGAGACTGAGAGGGGGTGGGGGTGAGGTTCAAGACAACCTGGCTGGGGAGAGAGGCTGGTGGGAGGAGGAGGGGAAATACAAATCTAGGGGTGATCACCCTGACACCAGGGTCCATATCAGCTATACCATGTGGGTGGGGTGAGGAAGGCAAGAGGTAATGGGCACAGTGGTGGTTTTCCTTTGCCCCTAGAACCAGCATGGAGACCATGCACTTGAAAATGAACTGGAGAGGAAAAGAATGAGAAGAATGGCTGCACAGAGTGTTTGATGAGTTTTAACATACATATACTCAGAGCTGATCACCACGATAAAGATAACGAACATATCCATCATCCCCTGTGTTGCCTTTATTTTCCACACTTGTTCCCCAAACCCTTTAAAAAGTTATTGATAGGGGTGTAGCTTAGCAGTGGACCACATGCTTAGCATGCATGAGACCTTCAGTTCAATCCCAGGTACCATAAAAAGTATTGAATTAATCGAGATTAAGTATGCTGGTTGGAGGCAGTAAAAATGGAAACTGTGTTGATCTGTGTGACTGTTGAAATTCTTGTTTTCTCATCTGTAAGATGGAGATAGTCAGTGGTATTTACTTGTAGTGTTTTGGGGCTAAAATTTTTAATGAATTAGTGCATTGTTTAAACATAATAAAGTCTATGTAAATGGTAGTAGCCATTGCTAATGTTATTTTATGTTGTTTCCTAATGTACTTGATGTGTTAGATATTTTATCTTCATCATTATTATTTGACTGGTATTATGCCTAACAGTAGGTGCTCAATTTACATTTATTTCTTTTGCTTTTAAAAGATTTATTTATTTGTATATGTGTCTGTGCCTGAATCCATGTCTGTGCATCCTGTGCATGCAGGTGCCTACAGAGGCCACAGGGCATTAGACCCTTTGGAGCTGGAGTGACAGGTGGTTGTCAAGAACAGCAAGTGCTCTTAACTGCTGAGCCATCTCTCAAACCTCCTCCTTTCTCAACTCTTTTTAATCCTTTATTTTTCTTCTTAATTTTTCAAAAAAAATTTCTGGATTTATTTATTTTTATTTAATGTGTATGAGTGTTATACCTACATGTATGTAAGTACACCTGTGTTGTGCACTTAATTCTTTTTTTGGTTTTTTTTTTTTTTGGTCTTTTTGAGACAGGGTCTCCCTGTAGCCCAGCTGGCCTGGAACTGGCTATGTAGACCAGGCTGGCCTTGAACTCACAGAGATTCACCTGCCTCTGCCTCCCAAGTGCTGGGATTAAAGGCCTGTGCCACCTGGCAACTGAATTCTTTTTTTTTTTTTTAAAGATATTTGTTTTTAATTTTTATGTGTATGAGTTCTTTTCTTGCATAATGTAAGTGCACTGCATCTGTGCAATGCCTGCAGAGGCCAAAAGAGGGCATCAGATCCCCTGGAACTGGAGTCATAGATGGTTGTTAACCACCATGTGGTTGCTGGGAACCAAACCCAGGTCTTCCCCAAGAGCAACCAGTGTTCTTAACCACTGAGCCATCTCTCCAGCACCAACTTTTTCTTCTTGACTTTTGATAAATATACATGTGGCATTTATTCTCTAACCCTGATTGCCAAATGTGAGACTTAATTGGAAAAATTGACAGTCATTTGTTTATTAATTTAGTCAACAAATTTTGTTGAGTACATGCTGTGTTGCAGTCACAGAAACAGGCACGTCAAATGATTCCAAGCTGCATAAGACAAACAGTGAGTCCTACATCTAACCAGAATGCTTAGAGGAGGCTTGTGATCAAAGAAACATGGAAGTCTAGGGGCTGGAATGAGGGCTTCTGTCTGCAAAGACCTAGGGACAGTCCCTTGAAGGATGTGTAATTTTATTACAGTCTCAAAGGACTGAGAGGGTGAAAGTAATCTGAGAAATTTGATCAGAACCACACAGGGTTCTGAAACTCCATCCAGGAGTGGGAGGCAGTTCTATGTATGTGGGACACACACTGTGCAGAGGAATGAGCATCATGAAGGACACGGAGGAGGAATGGGCATCCCCATGGATGCTTACTCTTGGGCCAAGGAGGTGCGGTGGAGTCTGTCAAGGCAGTGGAGAGCAGTGAAGACTTCAGCAGGGAAGGTGTTAAGAATAAGTATGATTTTTAAAAAATATTATTTTTATTTTATGTGTATGAGTGTATTGCTTGCATGTAGGTAAGTGTACCCAGGTCATGTACTGCCCGCAGAGGACAGAAGCGGCTGTCAGATCCCCTGGAACTGGAGTTATGGACAGTTGTTAGCTGCCATGTGGGTGCTGGGATTCGAACCCCAGTCTTCTGCAAGAACGACCAGTGTTCTTAACCACTGATCCATCTCTCCAGCCTCAAGTATGATGTTTTTAAGCCAGGCGTGGTGGTGCTTTTAATTCCAGCAGCAGCCAGCTACAGGGAGACCCTATCTCAAAAAGCCAAAAAAAAAAAAAAAGAATAAGCATGCTGTTTTTGTTGGTTTATTTATTTAGAGACAGGATCTTACTATATTAACTCATGTTGGCCTTGAACTTTTGATCCTTCTACCTCAGTCTCCAGAGTGCTAAGATTGTAAGCCTGACCTGCCACATCTAGCTTAGTATACTATTGAGGACTGTTATGACACCTGTGTTTGGACAGAGTGCACATGAGGACAGATGTACAATCAGAACTTTAATGTGTCTAGCTGCTGCTTAGGATCTTAAGTAGGTTACTGGCTGTTCAGAAATGCAAGGCTAGTAACATCCGTGCATTCTTGGTCATCAGGATTGGTGCTTGCTTTCTTCTCTTGGAATACTAATAGGGTGCATATTAGGTGCCAGCCATTCCTAATTCAGTCCTCATGATGATAATGAGGTGTAAATACAAGTATACCCATTTTCCAGATGGGAAAACTTGTGCTTGAAGTGGCTAAGAGAGATGATTGCCATCCTCTACTTTATCTTCCTTGTCAGACTGTCCCAGTGGCCTCTTGGTTTTCTTTTGCCAGTATCTCCTCTATTTGCCATCTCTTGTGTCAGCCCACCTCTTAAGGGTAAGGATTCAGAAGAATCATTTGTAAATATGGTCTCCCAGTAATCATCACAGTGCTTTGATTTGAACTGAATGTACTCAAACAAGTACAGTTCCTATCTGAGATCCAAAGGCTACACAACAGTTGTCATCAGCTTACTTTACTTGTTCCAGGGATGGGCCTGCTTTTGAGGCCATTTCTACCAGCAAATATATCATCAACCTAGTGAAGTGACATCAGCAGAATTACTGCTTCAGTATCCAAAGTTTAAATTTATTTGTCCTTTTGCTGATTGCATTTGGGGCTAGGAAGATTACTAAGCCATGTTATTTAGTCACATCTAGAAAGAAGCAAAGTATGCATTTTCAAGAGAAAAGCAAATATAGCAAGTGTACTGCATGACTTCCGTTGTCCCAGAATAGTCCTCCTTGATATAATTTAGGTCAGAATATGTTCTGTGATGATATAGTACCTTCCCCCCTCTAAGTGCTGCCTTGTCTTCCTTTATATGTGCAGGAACTTGACAAAGAGCTCCCAGTGCTGAAACCGTATTTTATCAGTGACCCCGAAGAGGCCGGAGTGAGAGAAGCTGGCTTGAGAGTCACGTGGCTGGGACACGCGACACTGCTGGTGGAGATGGATGAGCTCATGTTCCTGACAGATCCCATCTTTAGCTCCCGTGCTTCTCCATCGCAGTACATGGGTCCAAAGCGATTTCGCCGTCCTCCATGCACAATAAGCCAACTCCCCCCGATAGATGCAGTCCTTATTAGTCACAACCACTATGACCACCTGGACTACAACTCTGTCCTCGCTTTGAATGAGCGATTTGGCAGTGAGTTGAGATGGTTTGTGCCCTTAGGGCTTCTTGACTGGATGCAGAAATGTGGCTGTGAGAACGTGATTGAACTGGACTGGTGGGAGGAGAATTGCGTCCCTGGCCATGATAAAGTCACCTTTGTCTTTACTCCTTCCCAACACTGGTGTAAAAGGACCCTAATGGATGACAACAAAGTTTTGTGGGGCAGCTGGTCGGTGTTAGGGCCTTGGAATCGATTCTTCTTTGCAGGCGACACCGGTTATTGTCCTGCTTTTGAAGAGATAGGAAGAAGATTCGGTCCTTTTGATCTTGCAGCTATTCCCATTGGAGCTTATGAACCAAGGTTTGTAAATGTGTAAAGAGAAGACTCCCTCTACATAATACGTTAACTGAAGTTTACAGTTTTTGGTTTTTTGATACTATGTAATGTCTGATTTTAGTGGTGGAATTTGGTATACATTGATGGAGATTGAAGTCAGATTTGAATTCAGTTTTATACCAAGGTATAAAGAATTTCCACGCTTTGCCAGAAGTACACATAGCATTCCAACTGAAGTTAAATATAGTAGCCAGTATTCAGAACTAACTCTCACTCTTCCTTTTCACATGGAGGATTCTTTCTATAGATAACTACCTTTTTTGCTCTATGATTGAGAAGTACCAGTCCCCTGTAGCTCCCCTTTATTTAGCAGAGTGAGAAAGTAAGGAATTGGCGTATAGTGTTAGTCCCTGTGATGATGTTTCTTCATTCAGAACACAGTGAGTCTGGTCCTAACATGACATTACTCACCACCCTCTCCCCCCACTGTGCATTCATTACTTACTTTCAGAGCAGCTCATAGCACAGAACTCGGGAGGCAGAGACAAGCAGATCTCTGTGAGAGCTTGGTTCTACATAGCCAGTTCTAGACCATCGAGGTCTACATCGTAAGACCCTGTCTCAAAACAAAATGGAATAGTAACAACAACAAAAATAAGGTGGAGGGCTGGTAAGATGACTCAGTGGGTAAAAGTACTTGCACCAAGCCTCAGGGATCTGAGTTTGATCCTTAGAACTCACATGATAGAAGGAGAGAAGCAACTCCTGTAAGTTGTCCTATAGCTTCCTCCCACATGTGCATGCAAGTGCATGTGTGTGTACACATGGAGAATAAATAAATGTAATTAAAAAAATTTTTAAAAGTTGGAAAGTGATAGAGACAGACACCTGATACAGACCTCTGGCCTGTGCATGCCCTCACATGCATGTGCACATACATATATATGACACACACACACACACGTTTTGCTTTATTTTGTAGTGCTTACATAGCCGTGAGCTTATTAGGCAATTCTACAAGCAGAACTAGTGTTTCTCAAATACATTGATGGATTAAATAAATCCAATCTTTTGTTTTCACCTGATTTATTTATTTATCTGGGTTGTGTGTGTGTGTGTGTGTGTGTGTGTGTGTGTGTCTGTGTCTATGTGATAACTGGGGAGTAAACCTAGGACATCAGGCTTGCTAGATTCCTCTGTATCACTGAGCTATATCCTCAGCCCTGTTACATTTATTTGTTAACTCTTTAAGTTTTTCTTTATTTACATTCATTTCTCATTTTATGTTATTTTACTTGTTTCTTTATTTGGGGGTTTATATACTTTTACCTTTTTTGGATTCTTGGTAATTATCATAAATTACCAGATGAGGTGATACATGCCTCTAATCCCAGAACTGAAGCAGGAGGATCTCGGATTTGAGGCTAACCTGTATTACATAGTGAGACCCTGCCCACCCCAAAACAAAACAAAACAAAAAAGACAGCAACACCATTACCAACAATAACAATGACTGTAAGTCAGCATTAGTACCCGAATTCTTTTTCTTTTTTTTAAAAAATACTTTACTTTTATTTTATGTGTATGCGTGTATTGCCTACGTGTGTGTGTAGGTGCACCTGTGTTGTACAATGCCCATGGAGGACAGAAGAGGCTGCTAGATCACCTGGAACTGGAGTTATGGACAGTTGTTAGCTGCCATGTGGGTTCTGGGATTCGAACCCAGGTCCTCTACAAGAACAGCCAGTGTTCTTAACTGCTGAGTCATCTCTCCAGCCATGAATTCTACTTCTTCCATTTAAATAATTCTAGTTCTTCTGAAACTTTTGAAAATGTCAATCAACATGGCTTTGAAAAAAAAAAACTGTTAACTGTTACAAATTATTTTCAAGTAGTGTTAGTTTTTACTCAATACGTACTTTTAACTTACCGGAATATCTCCTTATAGTTATAAAAACAAGTCTTCAAGGTAGCAATATATACATTAGATATATTGGGGGGGGGATAAACCAGACTGCACATACTGCCCTCACCCCCCTTCCTTTTGCTATCATCTTGTTTCTGAGATGTGAGAAGATGAGTTAAATATGGTAGCTGGCTTATACTGTGTAATCCATTTCTTTGGTCAGTACTAACCGTTTTAGAAATAAAATAAAACTTGGGAATGCTCTACAACATGTAAAGTGATTACTCCAAAATGACTTTCAGTGGTGTGTTGGGAATATTTTATCCCTGATTTTAGGGTTTTTCATCAGCAGGTGTTCTAGCTGAGACAGCTGGAATTTAGCATTTTACTTTATTTCTCTCTTGCAGTGCTGGGGATTGAACCCAGAGCTGTGCATACACTTGTAGTACTACCACTGGTCTATAATCCTAGCACTAACATTTTCATTTTAATTGTTAGCGTGAAAAATTAAATTTATGCTGGGCATGGTGGCACATGCCTGTAGTCTCAGCACTCGGGAGGCAGAAGCAGGCAGATCTCTGTGAGTTCAAGGCCAGCCTGGTCTACATAGTGAGTTCCAGGCTAGCCCCTATTACAGGGAGACCCTGTCTCACAAACATGGAAAAAAGAAAATTCAGATAAAGCAGGAAGCTAGAAAAGAAGGAGGATGTTTTTCTTTTTTATTATTTTTATTTTTGATGTGTATGAGTGTATTGTCTGTATGTATGTAAGTGCACCCATGTTGTGTAATGCCCAAAGAGGTCAGAAGAGAATGGCAAATTCCCCTGGAGCTGGAGTTATGGATGGTTGTTAGCTACCATGTGGGTGCAGGGAATCGAACCCTGGTCCTCTACAAGGGCAGTCAGTGCTCTTAACCGCTGAGCCTTCTCTCCAGCCCTGTAGTAGAATTTTTCAAAAAATAAAATCAGTAGATAGACCAAGAACTGTTTTCATTTTGCCTTGAATCCTGAGTGCTAGGACGTACAGCAGAACAGAGCTTTTGTAATCTGTTGAGAATACTGTGGCTTTGTTTTTTTGGCTCCCAGAGAACCCAGGAACTGCTGACAGTAAATAACACCTTTGGCTGTTGTAGAAGGATGAGCTCTTCCCTGCGGTGTTCCCTGAGGACAGAGCCCCTGTGCAGAATCCATTCCCCTTAGTCTCTGCCATCACTTGGAAATGGCAGACGAGGATGTAAAGAACATGAAGAAAATGTTTTTTTTTCCAACTAAACTAATGGCTTAGAAAGCAAAACGTGCTTGTACATACTGCATTATTTTCCTTTGTGTCAGAAGAATTCCTTTTTTTCTGAAGGTGTTTTTATCAACTCGACTTTTCTGGGGAAGTCTGTGAAATAGGTTTTGTATTTAATGCCTTCATAAACTTTGCCTTGTTTAATCTTAATGACACCCTCATAGGGTAGGTCAGAATGTATAGTTTACATATAGGGAAATAGCTTAGAGAATTTGAAAACTTTCCAGAGGCTTTCTAGCCACTAGGACTCATAGGAAGCCTTCTGCCTCAGGAACCTGGGTTGGTTCCAAAGGGTCCAATAGCCTCTCAGGGCTTCATATCTTCAGTCACTCACTCATGAGGCTTTAAAAATATTTTCATTTTAGGTGTATGAGTGTTTTGCCTCACAAACTAAGTGCACCACATGCATGCAATACCCACAGAGATCAGAAGAGGGTGTCAGATTCCCTGGAACTGGAGTTATGGATGGTTCTTAGCTGCCATGTGGGTGCTGGGAATGGAATCCAGGTTCTCTGGAAGAACAACAAATGTTCTTAATAGTTGAACCATCTTTCTAGGTCCTCATGAGGCTTTTTTCCCTCTTCCTCCCTCTCCTCCCCCTCCTCCTCCCCCTCCTCCTCCCCCTCTTCCTCCTCTTCTACTTCCTCCTCCTCCAGCTCCTCCATCTCCTTCTCCTCCAGCACCTGTTCCACCTTCTCTGCCTCATCCACCTCCACCTTTTCCTCTTCTTTTGCCAAACTAACACCTCATTGTTCAGTTTTATGGTGTTTAAATAAAATACTTTGACTGTCAGTAGAACTTTTTGCTCCTACTCTTTATATATACCATATACTGTTTATGTAGTATACACTATACAAACTGTTTTTGAGAAAGGATCTTGCTAATGTGGTCCAGCCTTGCATTTAGGATCCTTCTTTGGAGTGCTAGGACAATAGGTATGTACCACTGTTCCTGGCCTTATACACTATTTTTGTTTATTTGTTTCTTTTCTTTTACCAAGTTTAAAACAATTTGTTTCTATAGGATATCCTGATTTTTTGGTAATTGGAATTTGGGTTTCTGAGTCTTTACCCACTATTCAGTGTTTTTGAGTCATTTCTAGGATCGTATCTGCTTTTTCAGGAGCAAGTCATACCATTAAAATATATCATTAACAATATTCATGAAACAAAATTTTATTGTTCAGAGAGTTTTACTTAAGAGTCACTTGTTTAGCCATCTGTGCACACAGATTTTTGCTTTTTTTTTTTCCCACCAGAGAAAAGTGGACTGAGGGAGATAGTTTCACCTACTGTGAGTGGGTTTTTGCTGAACAGGCTTTGCTTCCTGTTTAAAATATTTTTGTCTCCTTATTTAAACATTTTTTTATTTTTATTATTTTTATATTTGTGTATGTATGTGTATATGTCTATGTGAGTAAATACTGTGTGTGTGTGTGTGTGCTCACAGAGGCCAGAAGAGGGCATTGGATCCCTTAGAGCCTGTAAAAGCAGTTGTAAGGCACCTCCTGTGGATGCTGGGAACCAAACCTGGGTCCTTTGGAAGAGCAGCAAGTGTTCTTAACTGCTGAGCCATCTCTCCAGGCCCCTGTTTATTTTACAGTTAAGCCTTGTCCTTGCCTCCAGGCCAGGTGTCTGACACATTCTCAACACTGCTTGTGTTCAGACCCAGTAGTTCTCAACTCTGGCTATGTAACCTTAATGCCCATGTCCCAGCCCAGAATAATTACATCAGAATCACTTAGTAACTTTTTATTAAAAGTTCTCTAGATGAGCCCTATGTGAATTCAAAGGCTGAAAAGTGATTGAGAGCAACACTGTTGCTTGTCACTCTTTCTGTTGGTGATTCAGTGTAATTCTTCAGAGTGCTGGCTTAAAATCAAATGAAGGAATAGGGAGAAGAGTAAACATAACCAGGACGAACTGCTTTTTATTTTTTCCCACATCCATAGCCCTGTGCAGAATCTTTGTTTTAAATTTTATCTTTAATTATGTTTGTACCTGTGTGTCTGTGTGTAGGTTTGTGCATATGTTAGTACAGGTGTGCTTGGAGGCCAGAAGAGGGCGCCAGATCCCCTGGAGCTGAAGTTAGAGGCAGTTATGAACCATCTGATATGGGTGCTAAGAATGAAACTTCAGTTCTCTGCCAGTGCAGTATGTGCTTTTAACTGCTGGGCCATCTCTCCAGATGTGCAGAATCTTAGAGGTTGATTAGATGAAACAGTCTTTAGAATTTAGAGTATATTCACAGACCAAATTAATAAATTGCTGTGTTTCATCAGGTGGTTTATGAAATATCAGCATGTTGACCCAGAAGATGCTGTAAGGATTCACATTGATGTTCAAACAAAGAAATCTGTGGCAATTCACTGGGGAACTTTTGCTTTAGCAAATGAGGTAAGTTTGATTGTGATTAAAAAAAGAATCCCAGATTTGACTATGTATTTGACTGTTGGTGGGATTTAGGTATTGTTGGACCCTGGAGGTGTTTTCAGAGACCATCCTGGAATCAGACCCCACGTAGACTTCATAATCACCTCATGAATTAGAGTGGTAAAATGTACTTAGAGTAAACTAATACTTGAATGTAGTAGGAAAAAACCCATCATTGCATGCTGTTACTTGGGCTTATTTCTGTAGTTAATGAAGGATATGTTTATCTGAAAAATCAGTGTGTGGTGTGTGGTATAGAAAAGTGAACCATCATGCCTCCTCACTGCAGGTGACCTGTTCTAATGGAAGCCAGAGACATGCACATGGTTTACGTATTGGCTGTCAGGTGGGGTAGATCTCAAAGACTGGGACCATTACTGATGGTCAGGATCAGGAATAACTGCAGGGAAGAATGGTGTTTGAACTTTTATTCAGTGTTTGTTATGTATTATGCATTTGTTATGTATGTATTGGTACAAGTGTGGTTTATTCCTGGACTAAATCAGAAGAGCTGTTTTTTCCTTAGGATAACTGAACCCTAGAAGTCCGCAGCTAATCTGGCTTCTGGGATCAGGGGCAGTCTAGTAAAGTTTTCTCTTTCCTAAATCCAAGCCCTGCCTAAGTAAAGTTTAGACAGGGATGATTGGAATTAGCATCTGTTAGACTTTCTGTGGCAACCTCTGTACAGAGGGTCTCTGTAGAAACCTAGTGTTTTCTTGCTGTTTTTAGCCCTCATTCTGTTTTGTTTCCTGACCTGGTCTCTTCCTAAGAGACAGATTGTTCCAAAATTACCTAATACATTCCCTGCTCATTTCCCTATCCCCTAATTAAAATGCCCATCTTATTATGCAGTAACTCTGAGTCATAATACAGTAAATATTTAGCCATGCTGTTGGGGGATGGAATGGAGTGAATAAGTGAAAACCTATAGAAGTAGGGAGAATGGGTGAACCTAAAAATTGCATGTGTGTATTTGAGAAGGGGTAAACTGCTGTATTTGCATTGTGCTATAGTTGATAGCAGTTTCTTATACTCTGTCTGTGTGTGTGTACCCATGCCCACATGTGAATATTCATATATATTTTCTGTTGGTGACTTAGATGAAATAGTATTTTATTAAACCTGTGCAAAGAAAGGAATGCAGACTTTAGCTTGAGAGATTGAGTAGTAAGAAGAGCTCTTCACTGAGGTAGGGAAGATGAGGATTGGATCAAAGCCTGTCTTTATTTGCCTTCAAGAATTATTTCTATTAACATTACTGGGTGTGGTAGTGCACACCTTTAATCCCAGCACTTGGGAGGCAGAGGCAGGCAGATCTCTGGGTTCAAGGCCAACCTTGTCCAAATAGCAGCTCCAGGCCAGCCAGGGCTATGTCTGATTTTCTAAAGCAAATCACTGGTTTTGATGAAAGCTGCTTTTAAGCATTATGTAATACATGTTAGCTTTTCAGCTGAGCAGGGTCTTTATTTTGACTAGATTCTGTTGTAAGCAGGTTGTTAAACAGTGATCCCTTTAGGAACTTAGTTGCCTAGGGCTGGTTGCTTGGGATTTAATGAGTGCACAGGCTGTGAGCTCTTCTGCTTCTTTTCCCCTGGTTGTTTGCTTCCATGACTGTGGGGCATTTTTTTCTCCTTTGAGGATTGAAGTGCTTGGATCATGAGGTAGCATACATAACTTACTCAGAAGCTTTTCTCACCTAGTTTCAAGGCTATCTTCTTTTTTTTTCTTTTAAAAAATTTTATTTTTATTCGTTATTTTTATTTTATGTGTGTGTATTGCCTGCATGTAGGTAAGTGCACCCATGTTGTGCAGTGCCCGTGAAGGACAGAAGAGGCTATCGGAGCTCCTAGAACTGGAGTTATGGACAGTTGTTAGCTGCCATGTGGGTGCTGGGATTTGAACCCGGGTCTTCTGCAAGAACAGTCAGTGTTCTTAACTGCTGAGCCATCCCTCCAGCCCCCAAGGCTATTTTCTAGGTGGTTGGAATAGCCAAAAATTAACTGATGGATAAACTCAGAGTTTGCTAAATGTAGGAAGATCAAAGACAATGCATCTACTCCTAGCTGAACATCATAAAACTGTACTATGCCTATATATGGCATCATGCATGACACTGCAGAGTAGTTAGAGCTTAGCAAAAAAATGAGCAGTGTCGGGAGACTGTGAGTATGTATTATTGGCCAAAACTTGCAAAACATGGGGGGAAAAGAACTTAAAAGAAGCTGTTTTTTAATGGATAAGAATTTTATTCTCTGAAATATTTTATAATTAAAAGTTACATTTTTGGGGGCTGGAGAGATGGCTCAGCAGTTAAGAACACTGACTGTCCTTGCAGAAGACCTGGGTTTGAATCCCAGCACCCACATGGCAGCTAACAACTGTCCGTAACTCCCATCCCAGGGGATCCAACAGCCTCTTCTGATCTCTGAGGGCATTGCACGACACGGGTGCACTTACCTATGTGCAGGCAATACACACATACACATAAAATAAAAATAAAAATAAAAATTTTTTAAAATTACATTTATTTTATTTATTTTGTGTCTATATGTGTGTGGGTGCACATACTATGGTGCATATGTGGAGGTCAGAGCACAGCCCATGGAACTTGGTTCTCTCCTTCCACCATGTGGGTCCTGGGGATTGGACACAGGTCGTTAGGCTTGGGACAAGTGTCTTTGCCATCTTGTTGACCCCCATTTTAAAATATTAAAAAAAAACACAAAACTTTTCCGGGGGGAAATTTCTTGATTTAGACTGTTATTTAAATTCTGTTAGTAATATATTAATGATATATAATATATATAGATACATATGTATGTGGAATCTTCAAACAATAGATTCATGCTATCAGCCATTCATTAGCAGGTAGTTAGCTCTAGAAGCATAGTATAAATAAGGTTCAGTTAAAATCTTAAGTTATTTCGCAGTCACTTGAAAACCATCACTGACCCTTAAAACATAGCCCTATGGGGCTGGAGAGATGGCTCAGCAGTTAAGAACACTAGTTGTTCTTGCAGAAGACCTGGGTTTGAATCCCAGCACCCACATGGCAGCTAACGATTGTCCGTAACTCCAGTCCCAGGGGATC